ACACACACACACACACACACACATAACACATACACGCGCACACACACGTGGTATCTGTGCGAGACGAGGGGTTAGTGTGGTGTGCACAGTTTGCTACGTATTCGGCGAATTCGTAATTGTTAGAAGACTGTGACGCGACGGGACAGCCTGGGGAGATAAAGAGAAAGCAAAAAGGCGTTCGTCGCACATTCGCTCGAAAAAATCCGAGGAAACCCTGGCCGCTTCCGTTCTTTCTTCGGTGGATCTCGATAGAGAAACAGAGAAGTAGATAGAGAGAGAGAAAGAGAGATTCGGTTAGAAAAAGAATAGAGAGATCGAGGCAGAGAAAAAGATTGAAATGAAACTGAAGAAAAGTGGAAGATGAAAAGGGAGAAAAGTGAAAACGATGATCGATCGGTAGAACGGAAATGGTCCGGGTTCATAGAGTGCAATCTACGAGTAACCAGAGAGTTGTTAGATCAAATTATTATTAATTTTATCTAATTACGAAGATGAAGATGAGCGATTAATAATTATTGCATAATTGTGATTCATGTTATATTGTTTATACACTTCTCCTATCCCAATAGTCGTTAAGCTGTTAATGTTATTACACTCCGCTCTCCGACTACGTACCTTTTTTTGTCTGTTCGGTTAGTAGGCGCGTCGTCTTTCGTGAAGAAGAAAAAGTGAAAAAGAAAAAAGAAAAAGAAAAAAAAAAAAAAAGAAAAAGCAACAGTTCAGAAGAAAAGGAACACGTGTCCTCTCGCTCTTCTTCCTGCTTCTTGCTTGTCCATCAATACTACGGGAGAGTAAACGTCAATCGCCTATGTGAGGAATCGGTTAATCTCGTTGTTACGTCTACGTTCTTCTCTCCCTTTTTGTGTTTTTTTTTCTTTTTTTTTTTTCTTTCTCTTCTTTCGTACGATAGAATTCATACGTACGTGGTTTTCGTTTGCTGTTCTCTCGTACGGACGAGCAAAGAAAAAGGCAGAACCAAGCAGAAAAAAATCTGTCCACTCGCGAGTATGTAATTCTTTATGTTCTCTCTTTTCTTCTTTTTTTTTTTATTTTTTTTTTTTTTATTTTTCCTATCTTCGCTTGGAGAATTTGTGAGAAACAGAGAGAAAGAGAGAGAAAAAAAAGATGGTTATACAAAGCGATCGGTGATCGAGGTTGTCAGTTACTATCAATATTACCGTATTATTAGGCTTACGTTATCACTGCTATTTTATTATTATTAAATAATATTATTATCACGATGATTATTATTAATATTATTGATTATATTGTATTATTTTATTACCATTCGAATTCTTATCGCGATAACGACACGGCTTCTAAAGCCAATGTGATAGAGCTTATATGCGATAAAAGTAAATTGATGAGAAATAAAAAAATGAGAGAGAGAAAGAGAGAGAGAGAGTGTGTGTGTGTGTGTGTTTGTCTATCTGTGTGTAAGATTGAGAAATTGGGAGGGTGAAAAATTGAAAGATTGAGAGAGAGAGAATGATGATACCGGGAGGTCGGAGGCCTTCTTTCGTGCGATGAAGATGCGCCGGCATCTTTAAACCGGACGTTATAAAGCGGTGACACCGTAAAGCTCGCATCCATATGTAAATAGCTGTACAAAAAAGAAGAAGAAGAAGAAGAAGAAGAAGAAGAAGAAGAAGAAACAAAAAGAAAACGACGAAAGAGAGGGAAGAGAACAAGAAGAGACTCGGACATGCGAAACACTACACGTACATGATCTTGTATATTATACTTAATTACCACACTTAACTCTCTAATAGCGGTATATCCACAAACACTGAACTAAGGAACGCGATTAGTGAACGTTTAACGCCCCGTTTCCAATCAAACGATCGAACGTCAGGTATAAGGATCGATCGCTCGATGGCTCGAAAAATTTTTGACCCTTTTCTTTTTTTTTTTCTTTTTTTTTTTTTTTTTTTTTTTCCTTTTAATGGACGAAC